CTGGGATTGGATTTTTGGGAACTTGGGAATCTGGGATTGGATTTTCGGGATTTTTTTGGGAATTTTTGGGAATTTTTTTTGGAATTTTTGGGAATTTTTTTGGAATTTTTTGGGGAATTTTTTGGGAATTCAGGATGGGATTTTTTTGGATTTGTGATTTTTTGGGAATCTGGGATTGGGAATTTGGGATTAGATTTTTGGGAATCTGGGATTGGGAAATTTGGGATTGGATTTCTGGGAATGACCCCTCACCAATTCCATGGAAAATCCTGGCCACGGCTCTTCCCGAAAATTCCTCGTCCGGATACGCCGCGAGGAATTTCCGGATCTCGGCTCGGATTTCTTCTTCCTGATCCTTCAGCCAAAGGAAAATCAGGAATTCTCATCCAGAAATCCCCAAATTTCCCTGAAATTCCTCATTTTTTTCTCTCAAATCCCCCATTTTTCCCAGATTTTTCCAGAATTCCCCATTTTTTCCCTCAATTTTCCCAAAATTCCCTGGTTTTTCCCCCAGATTTCCCTAAATTTCCCCAATTTTCCCACAAAAATTTTCCAATTTTTCCTCCAAATCCCCCATTTTCTCAAATTTTTTCCCATTTTTCCCAAAATTCTGATTTTTCCCCAAAACTTCCCCAAATTTTTCCCAGATTTTCTTAAATTTCCCCAATTTTCCCCTTTTCCCCCAGATTTTCCAAATTTTCCCCATTTTTTCCCCTTAAACCCCAAAATTTTCCCAAATTTTCCCCAAATTCCCCAATTTTCCCCCTCAAATTTTCAGATTTTTCCCCCAAATCCCCCATTTTTCCAAATTTTTCCCCCAAATCCCAATTTTTTCCCCTTGAAGCATCAAAATTTTCCCAAAATTCCCCATTTTTTCCCCCAGATTTCCCTAAAATTTCCCAATTTTCCCTCCAAAATTTTCCGATTTTCCCCCAAATCCCCCATTTTTCCCAAATTTTTTCCCATTTTCCCCAAAATTCTGATTTTCCCCCAAAACTTCCCCAAATTTTTCCAAAATTCCCCAATTTTTCCCCAGATTTTCTTAAAATTCCCCAATTTTCCCCCTTTTTTCCCCAGATTTTCCATTTTCCCCATTTTTCCCAATTTTTTTCACCTTAAACCCCAAAATTTTCCCAAAATTCCCCATTTTCCCCCCAGATTTTCCTAAAATTCCCCAATTTCCCCCCAAATCCCACATTTTTCCCAAATTTTCCCCAGATTTTCCCAAAATTCCCTGATTTTTCCCCCTAAACTTCCCCAAATTTTTCCAAAATTCCCCAATTTTTTCCCAAATTTCCCTAAAATTCCCCAATTTTTCCCCCAAATCCCCATTTTTTCCAAATTTTCCCCATTTTTTCACCTAAAACCCCCAAAATTTTCCCAAATTTTCCCCAAATTCCCCAATTTTCCCCCTCAGATTTTCAATTTTTCCCCCAAATCCCCCATTTTCTCCAATTTTCCCCCACTTTTCTCAAAAATTCCCTGATTTTTCCCCTTAAGCCTCCAGAATTTTCCCGAATTTTCCCAGAATTCCCTGATTTTCCCCCAATTCTCCCCAAATTTCCTTCCAATCCCCCTTTTTTCTCCAAATTCTCCAAAATTCCCAATTTTTTTCCCAGATTTCCCTAAAATTCTCCAATTTTCCCCCTCAAATTTTCAGTTTTTTCCCCCCAAATTCCCCATTTTCCCCAAATTTTCCCATTTCTTCCAAAATCCAAATTTTTTCCCCCAAAATTTCCCAAATTTTCCCAAAATTCCCAATTTTCACCGAGATTTTCCTAAAATTTCCCATTTTCCCTCCAAATTTTCAGATTTTCCCCAAAATTCCCCATTTTTCCCAAATTTTTCCCATTTCCCCCCAAATTCCCTGATTTTTCCCCAAATTTCCTTCCAATCCCCCAAATTTTCCATTTTTTCCCAGATTTTCTAAAATTCCCCAATTTTCCCCCAAATCCATTTTTCCAATTTTTTCCCCCAAATCCCAATTTTTCCCCTTGACACCCTCAAAATTTTCCCAAAATTCCCAATTTCCCCCAGATTTTCCTAAAATCTCCCATTTTCCCCCCAAATTTTCAGATATTTCCCCAAAATTCCCCATTTTTCCCCAAAATCCCAATTTTTTCCCCCTTAAACCCCCAAAATTTTCCCAAATTTTCCCAGAATTCCTTAATTTTCCTCCCAAATTTTCCCCCAGATCCCCAAATTTTCCCAGATTTTCCCCAAATTCCCGGATTTTTCCTGGAATTCCCACTCACCGCTGGAATTCCCGGATTTTTTTCCTCCTCCTCCTCCTCGGATTCCGTCGGATCCCTCTGGAAATATTCCCGGATCAGCTCCCGGAGTCGGGAATTCTGCTCCAGCTCCGCCTCTTCCGGAGGCTCGGGAACGCAGCTCGGGATCGCCACGCTGGAATTTGGGAATTTCCAAGGAATTTGGGGATTTCTTAAGGAATTTTGGGG